TGGGTTACATAAGTCCTGTTAAGCTCCCCGGATGGGGACCTCGGGATCAGCGTAATCAATGGTTAGAGACACTGAGTGGTATGCCTGAGCGTCGTAAACAGCGGCGTTCATGCGTCTTCTCAATTTCTTTGCAACATAAGTTCTCGGAAATTCTCAATTTTCTCTTCCATTACACTTTCAACCTTCCTGTCTTTCTCGTACTGCTCATCCAAATGGGCAGCTAAAAGATAGCAAACAAAACCGGCGCACGATAGTGTATGTTTAATGGTTGTACAAACTGAACTGAATAAAATGCTTCCATTTGCAATGGATGAGATCATGTGGGAAAATCGCGAAGAGTAAATAATAATAATACCACCGAAATTAATCGAGGATAACTGGCGGCAAGAAGTTAAAGAACTTACATCTCGTTTCCACGCTTTGTAGAACGGTTTGGGAAGATTATTTGGTTGCGAGCGATAGAACCGATGTGTACTCGGCGCAGTTTCCTCCATGATGAATTGGCCTACGATGAGAGTAACGCAGATAACGTAGAAGTGAAGTGGAAAAATCAATGGTTATCAACCATATAGTGATCGAACGAAAGTTATAACTTCAAGTATAATAGAGTAGCAATCCACAAAGAAAGTATATATAACGCTGGAGCGGTGTGGTAAAAGAATGCGCTTAGGTAGAGATCATGTCTCGCGAAGAGGCCAGTTTTGCTGTGCGCGCCACGGACTTGGATAAACCGGGAGTGCATCAGAGGAAACACAATAAAGTACACACATTCATTATCATGCATAGAATATTTTATCGAAAGGTCGGGTGATCCGTAGATCCAGTCAGCTCTTAATGTTTGACCTGATGACGTTTAATGTAGATCGGCATTTGAAAAACAGCAGAGGCGTAGAAAATTAGGTATTACGACGAAATGTTGTCAATTGTGTGATTGCAAGAATTAGAATTTAATGGGAGTTTCTATTCAAATTTATCACCATATGCGATGTGTTGAGAAGCTCCTGGCAGCTAGATGGTACTATTGTCATAAATTCACACCCTCCGCAAATGAAGTTTGCTTCCTCCCTTATTGGGTTCAAATTGCAAACGAACAAAGTCACTTTACCGCAAAGAATCAGTTACAAACATTACTATACTTTGGGGGGCAAGTCGTTTACAAAACAATTCGATGTCGCAGGGTGAATTAGTGAGAACGTGGTAAAACGTGCATACAGACCACCGACCTCCCCCCCCCCCGTTGGAAGAGCCGCAACTTTGTGTTACTCGGTTTTGAGGATTAAACAGCAGTGTATATCCACTGACTGAAACAAGGACGTATAGGATTGAAAGTCCTACACGTTAGTCTATCGGATTTTCCAACAACCCAACCATCCATGTAAATCTCTGTTCGTTTTATCACACAACGTCCATCTCAGAGGGCACCCGCTGAAGTTGGCACTCCAAAAGAGCCGTCTTGACTGCAGACGTCACTCGTTTGCAGTCAGAGTGTGCAGCACATGGAACTCTCTACCCCCTCACGTGGTCTGTGCCCCGACATTAGTATCTTTCAAGCGTCAGCTTGATGATGCACTGGCAATCATTGCTTTTCAACACCCAACTACATAATATATTCTCCTGTGCACGTCAAAAACATTACCTTACTACTGTAATTTCATGAATGTACTGTGTGTGACATTGTGATTCGTGTTCCGAACCAAAGTGTAAACACCCTATGGGATTTGAAAAAGCGAAGTCTTTGTAAGTTATATCCCATAATAAAAATTTGAATTTGAATTTGAATTTGAACAATATGTTACTCAAAAAGACTACCGACTGATCATATGACAACACTGCATTCTCTATCCGGTTCCGTTTCCGGCCGGGGATGTTTTCATTTAGATGAACATTCATGCGCGTTATAGCAGACCTCAATGATTGAACATCTGTCAACGAACGAATTACTTGAAAATGAGAGACCAGTGTAGGATTTCAAAGCGAAGAATATGAGACAGTTTTTCGTGCAAACAGGCACGAACGGAAACCTGTTCGTAATCAAGAAGAAAGTGCATCACAGAAGACAACAAATTACTATGATAAATAACTACACACTGCAGAGTTCCAGACATTGCAAGAGGTCCAGGCGAACCGTTTCTGACTAGCAAACAGAAATACTTTTGTGCACTGACTGTTGACCACTTAGGTATTCAAAGTGTAAATGACGCATACAGAAGTAAAATCATGTCGGTTCAGTCAGAAAAACGTAGTTTACCATGCACACAAACGCACCACGATATTGAGCGGGGATTTCATCTACCGATGGCACGGAGTAACTGCGTGCACAGGCATTCGCTTCAGTAACAGCTGTTGGTCGAGCTGTGGAAGCAACAGCATCCGCGTTCGATACGGGTTCACCGGATGCTGTCTCCTTAACAGTCGTCTGATTCTGACAGAGAGAACGGGAATTTTTAACGATGGTTGATGAGCAATAGAGATAAGTGTTCACTTAGGAATGGCACAATTATAGGACAGGAGCAATGTGATAGAAAGACTATGTTTAAAAAGTCTGTGGGACCAAAATAAACAGGTTCGCTACTGTCTGGCAGAATACCATATCTGTCTTATTGAGGGCACAGTTCGTGAGAACTCAAGTTTCAGTTTGACGGTATCAAAGAACACACTGGTCATTCTCGTTGAATGTTCTAGCTACTCAGCTGCATCGTGAACTTAAGTGTTACTGAATAATATTTAAAAGAAATGGAACGAAAAACTGAATTGTGAAATCCTCCCGGTGAAGCACGATCGATACATTCAGAGAGCAGGCATGAGGCATGGATGTCTGTGAGTATCTGTCGCACAACAAATCAACACGAAATTTCAAAGATATAGAAAATATTTACTTGAAGTATACACTGCTACCTTAGATAAAGGTAAAAAAACGAGCTTTACAATACTTTCACAATACTTAAACATATACTAAGTTGTGAAAGAGCGGTTTAATTAGCTGAGTAGTCGGCAGCTCAAGATTAGACCGCAGAACCCCGGGATAAATTGAAATTCACTGATGCGCAGCTTCGTTCTTAATCAGACAAAACCATTGTGCATAACATCTTTTGCTTAACTAACTGTTAGGTTTTGAGAACAAAACCAGTGAACTATTGAACTGTTGAACTTCGAAACGCGAAAAAAGAGACTCATCGGTAACATTTTCATCGAATTGAGTAAAATCTCCAAGAGAAATTAAATATCGCACAATATTGTCTGAATTTTATTGGCACAAGTCACAAAATTAGCTCAACAGCTAGTTTGATGAGCACAGAAAATCCGAAAACATGAGGTGGACTCACCGCCTCCTTCGTATCCTTCGGCGACGTGAGAATTGGCTCTTGCGATTGTTGCGCGTCCTCAGAGTCTTTAGTAAGTTCGATATTAACCGTATTGGTGTCATCGCTTTCATCAGGACTTGAAAGAGACTTTGCTTTCGCAACCAAATCCGGGGCACATTCACCTAGCCAAGCCAATGCACAAGCCTCGAAATCCGCCAATTGTTCCAGCAGGCGGCGATGCACCATCGTCAAATAGTGCGTCAACTGATCGAATAGATTAGCACTGATAGCCCGTGGAAAAGGAAGGATGGTTCATTAGACAAATTAAATGCAGAAGTAAAAATAGTCTGAAAAACAAAACAATAAAACTGTGCAGATCCTTCCATTTGCGTTGCGACAATAATACGGATTCCATTGCCGAAGGAAGCTAACCGTATACGTCCCGATTTAAGAGTAGATGAAAGCAATATCATTCAGAGAATCAAGCCAATGTCACCCAAAGAATTCCGCCAGTAGGAAGTGTGGAAATAACAGGGGTGAAAAATGCATCTACGAAATAACGATGAAGAATGGAGAGACACTGAGTACGGGGCAGGGTCACATATGGTGATTTTCTAAAGCACGTGCACCGTACACCTCCCATGTCGTATTTCCTAAGCGTTGTGCGGATTCACGTATATTCAGGACAGTCAAATGAACCTTGATTACCGAATTTAAGGGATTACTATTAAGGGACATTCAAAGACAAGATGGTAGTGATGATCAATACATATCTGTTGTTGATAATGCTTAGATTAAAAAACAGATTATGAGAGCTGTCACGCGCTTGCGACCTAGGACGCTGCAAGCGGCAAAATGGGCTCGTGGTTCGCCCGAGTACATCAATGAAATTGACTGATCCAATCCTTGAACCAATGATTAATCCTCAAAAAGTATATATATATATATATACTCCTATTAAGCAGTGCAATAAATTATTTTAAATTATTGGAGGAATATCGGACGACTTGGAACCGATAATAATTAAGAGGAAAATGATTAACAATCACGTAGCGCTAACTTGAAAAACCAATCACATGATAACATTATTGGATGCAACTGTTTTCCCGTTCAAATATAATTTCATTCCTAAATTAGGATACACTGAACAAGATTATGTTATAATGCGAAAATGTAAATGTAAAAGACCACACAATGAGATACTACTAGGATTCTTCGCCTAACACTTCGAATATATTAAAAGGTGAAGATATATGGTAACAGGAAGAAACGCATAATAACCCACTTCCGATGCGCTCGGTGGCATGTCATGAAATTCAGAACAAGAAAAAATTGTCCGGCTCTAAGCCAGATTTTAAAACACAAAAGTGCCTCTAGCATTGCAGTCATTGAGACAGCTTTAAAGATTTCATCAGGTGCAGACTTTTAGCTCGTACAACTATCGAACCTGTGCAGTCTTTTTCATGATCCAGTTCTTTCGTTTTTTTTGAAAGCAAGAGTGACTGTAACCTGAGGAGGAAAAGGTGTTACACTGACAAGAGTATACAGTCTAAACGGGAAGGTAAAATGAGCATATGAACGGCATTCGTATCCCCGATGCATTCTACGGAAGCCCTTTGATTGGCCATTTTCATTTTCCAGCAAAATATACGAAGAACAGCTAGTGTGCCTAATCGCCAAACCATGCTGAACCTGTTCCACTGTTCAGTATTTCCATATCACCACGGGAACTCATGCTTTCAGGACCATGAACCTTCCCGTAACTTTAGTTCCAACACGATAATTCACGTTCGCAACACAGTGATGCTAATCTATGGCGATGGAACACCCGAGTAAGTGAGTGTTGCTGATGAGCAAGTAATGTATTTGCCCTACAGAACAGTATGAGCCAAAATATCTCAACATGTCTTTGGTCTTCCACACATAGACGAATGCCGTCACGATGAAACTGATTCTTAAAGTTATTCAACGACAAATGACTACACCGAGTACATTGCAGCGTTCATAGGTAATTCCAGTACGAATCGAGAGAAACAATCAAGATGATAGATATCAACTGAAATTGATGTTGGATGGAAACGATAATAAGATTCCATAAAAGAGTTATCAAATGGGCTGTCCTTATAGAGTCGCTAAAAAATTGTCAATCCTGGGGCAATACAATTGCAACCGCCTAACCATTGCGAACTGGCGTTGAAGCATTTTGTGAAAATAATGCAGTAGAAACATAACTACTGAAAACTTTAACAGTAGCCCAAATGTAAATTTCAAATTTATTAGTCATTGACCCAACGAAATTCGTTCACTCACCTGACCAGCATATAGGCAGTCACTGTTCCGTCCTCTGACTCGGATTTAACCAACGAGTAGTGAATACGATCTCGCCAATTATCAACAGATGTTGTAAAGGGTTGCGTGGAGTTAGGAACAATCAGCACCTCTGAAAATGAACACAAGAACTGATATGAAACACCAGGGAGGCGTACTGTTAGCTGCTAAAATCAATTTACTAACACAAGGATCGATATACAGGTCGAGTTGTTCTCGGTAAAACTATGATGCATTTCTGGATTACTACAGTTGGTTTGGCTCAATTTACTGGCCATCGTAGTTGGAAACAGTGGACAAAAGAAAATGAACTGTGGTCATGAGAATAAAGCACCTTTTGCGTGAAATCCCGAGGCTGTAAATCGCAGACATCATTGATAACCATGTGTATCACTCACTGCGACACTTCATCGAATAAGTATCAAATACCAGATAAATGTTAAGGCAATCGTTATCAAATTGAAGAAATCAGGAATCATTCTATCCTCGTAGTCAAAAATACCTGAATTCGAGGATTGATAAATTGATTGATAAATTTATCTCATCCATAACGAACTATTGATGAGCCGCTAAAGTAAAGGAAAAAGAAAATCAAGGTAGAATAATTCTACCCTCCAATCAAGCCTTATTTGGCGATTGCATAGAAAACGCGGAACCAAATGAAACGAGCAAGAAAAGGTTTATCCCCAGTTCCTCCTGGTAAGAATGACGTCAACAAAGACAAGTCCACATACTAACGCACCATGCCCTGACAGAAGATATGGCGATAAAAATGAGCTCCTCTTTCGAGTGAGATAAACAGCAAAAGAAAATCCAAACGGCGAAAAACAAGTGACCTTCTAGCTGAAAAAAGGGGAAGGATCGACTCTTCTCCTTTTGAACTTAAGTCTTATCTAAATGGATTAGTTAACGAAAGGGGAATCACGTTTAAAATGAATTTTAAAACGCCAGTGGAGATAAGGATAGGCTATGCAGAGAACAGATCGAATCAACTGAAGGAACCCATCCAACTTGGTACGCTTTGGGCAGATACGGAGAGTAGAAGAACGTGCTGCCAATCCTTCGATCGACGGGAACAGATGTTTTTGCGCTCTGAGATCAGTTCAGCTGTCAGTCGATGTTTAATTCAAAGGAGAGAGTTCGTGATCAATAGGACTTGATTTGAATGGTTTCAGCGAAAGCAAGCAGATGAAAGTGTAGAAATCAGAAGACTGTGAGTAGACGTTTGTTCAATTTTGATAACCGCACCCTGAAAGTACCTCTCAATTGAGTATCCCGTCTAGCGTGAGTCAGTCGGGTTAAATGGTTATCGCAATGTTACGGGTACTCAAGGACATTCCATACTCCAGGTATGAGCATTCACCAAGATCATGAATGACTACGGTGTTGATACCCACCCTGACTAGTGATCGCAAATTGATAAATCAGTTTTAGGTGGCATTGACGAAAATCAAAAATGCGGTCAAGTGTTTCAACGGTTAAAACGACTTTTCGACGACCAATGAAGACGGAGAAAATAAATTTAGCCCTCAAAGAACAAGTGTTAATCACACAAAGCAAGACGAATTTTGTGGAAATAAAGAAATACTGGATTCAAAAATAAAAAATAGTCCAAATGACCGTTTGATAGTTACCGTGCTAAACAGAGTAAATGCAAGGGCACTTCATGAACTGCAATAATTCACGAATGCCATTATTCCCGATCAAAAACTGGTAGCGTTTAAACAGATTGGATGAAAAAGAAGCTAAATTGAGACAAAACAGTCGCATTGTATGGCCGTATTACTTAAGAATTCCCGCGCAAATACATACGTCATAGGGGGTTTCCTTTTTGGAACTGGTCGCACGAAAAATCTGTTCCTTCAAAGAATTCATATGTACAAAACCAGCGACAACGGTGGAGCTCATCATCCCAATTGCATGTTCTTAGTTTTCAACGAGCATATCCATGAGCGTGCCAGGAAATCCGAAAGATCTGCGTAAGAAATCACGCTGACAGAAACCAACCCGGCTACCTAATTCAGACGATCCAATACAACCGGATAAGTGAACAGCACTAATATGATGCGTGGATTAAACCTTCCAATGAAATATCACACGCGAGATCCTTCGTGGTATCTTCTCCCGTAGGATTGAGCAAGCGGTTGGATCAAAAACAAATGACGCAAACACACAAAAACAAGCGGACAACCAGAATTATAGCCTCACACCTCTCTATCAAGATATGGTTAACATCAACACCGCGCAAGTGAACCTTTCGGTCCGGCTCACATTTCGACAGACGAGGAGAATTCATCGAATAGTACCACATCACCACTGCAAATAACTGTAGTCTAACTTATTTAATGATTTAGAGCAAACGAAACTAATGGTCAGCATCAATTCTGCTCATATTCTGTTAATTCTCCTTTAGTCAAGTGCATAAACGTCACCGTTATCTACTGCCACTTGTATCGGCTAGTTATTGAATCCAAACGGATCAAATTTCAGGGGTTGTCTTCCATGTTTCCCACTTCAAGAAATTCATTTTCAAAACTTATATAAACATTGCATGTGTCTGCAGTGGGCACCAGTGGAGATGTGGTGAAATTTCTCAGGACACGAATCGTGGAATGGTTTTATACTGGCCTCTCTTTCCAAATGTCATTTCAACCTGGGACCAAACACCAATGCGCAGAGAGAGAGAGACATGACCAGTGCTCGAAATGTGGACGGAGCTGATCTGCGGGGAACAAGTTCGACTTTGTTTTGGTTGTGAAAGTGATGGTTTCAACAGTCATCGTCTATAAGCAGAGAACCAATACCCAAGACAGAGCCTTTCATTACACATCCACGGTCATTATTGCAGTGGAACCCCTTGCAATTCGTTACCAACGGTTACAAAAAAGAGCCAGTGTTACCATGAGCCAACTGAAAAGAAAACCTCATGAAAGTGCTATGTTTTTAGTTCTTCGGCAAACAGTAGGCAGGTGATTCTACATGACGAAGTAGCATAATCAATCGGTGATAACGAAATCCTATAAAGTCACTCGTCAAAGGTCCCTGTAGTCACTTCCAGTGGCATTGAGAACGATTAGCAGCACTCACTCATTTGACTCCGTCGCATAGCCATCAGGATTTCTGAGTTCAATGTGTTACTTTGATCGGTAAGGGATTCCACGATACCAGAGCTAACATGGCCAGGGTCTGAGGAGANGAGGAGATGGACACATCTGGTGCCGACGTTTCGGTGGCGTCCGAGGGATTTGTATACGTCATCGCTGCTCCAAGAGCATCCAAAGTGGACGCAGTGGAGAGCTCAGCTTGCATAGCCGTGCCGCCGCTGATCTCGATCGACTTGAGGACACCTTCAACGTGCTTTTCGGAGAATAGCTCGCGATGATCGCACTTCGTATACTGTCAACAGAAATAGATATATTATGGGAGAAGAAACATCAAATTAAAGTTGGCAGATGAGGCAGAGAAATGGTATTACCGTCTAGTCGAGAAATACTTATTTGACTTATGTAGTTCCAGAATGATGAACATCAACACAAACAATCAAACTGTAAGTTTCACCACATATTTGCAGAGGTCAAAGAAAAAGACACTACCAAATACTAGGTAGGCCCAGGTATAATTATTCAATAAGATTTAAACTGCTCGATCAATTGTATCAGGGCTTCATAGGCCGGTGTGAAGAAGGTCAACTTGCTTGGTAGAACTGAATCAGTATTGTGCCCATCAGTGTACATACGACCGTACACAAAGTACATCGTCCACGCTCGAAAGGCATGATTACAACCTGGTCGTAAGATATTGGAGCGTCTATGAAGGATTGCCACCAAGATGGTCAAGGGAATGCACTGCTCCGCCTACGTGGAGAGATTACAATTATTCTACTCAGAAATGCCTAATTCGATTAGACTTAATTTAGTGTCCCAAACATTGCCAAACCCAAACCAACCATGTCGTTTACTGCTCATGTTGTTGCTGAACATGCACCTTAGGGGACGAAAGAATTAGCTTGTGCCTTCGAAATTTAGGCGACTGATGCTGTTGCCTGTTGGAAAAATGCATTCAACATCCGAGCTCAATAACTTAATCAACTTCTCGCTCAGACTCAAAGGAAGCCTTTTTCCGGGGACCATGGTGAGTCAGCGTTTCATCAAACAGGGTTTATTAAGAACCACAAGCGGGGCTGCCCAGTTGGACCGGATATGGGTGAACGGCCGGCTATTAACAATGGGAAACCGATGTGCATGTGGTGCCAACAAGCCGAGGCCAATGGTGTCGGTTTTGAGGTTGTTGACTACGCCTCGATAGGCTATTGATCGTAGGCAAAGACAGCTTCTATAATCGTCAGCATGAACTTCATAAGGCACTCAAGACGGATAGTGTGATCAAATCAGGAGACCTGAACGCTCGCATTGGTCAACTGACTTGTGATGAGATCCTAGAGTTTATCACTGCATTGACAGATGACGTTCAGATAATATGATCAGAACAGTCTGTTCCTCGTTATCACGAACTGCATACACCCGCAGCATCAATTAGGCAATTGGCGTAACCGCAAAATGGGCAAAATGATGACACACCAATCTGTTATGGTGTGTCTGAAAGACTGTTATTTGTACTTGCTTGAACTCGGACCGTGAATTGCTTCGCGCCAAGTTTTCCATGCGATTCGATAGCAAACGCTCGAACCCAGGTGCACCCATTGAGTATGAAAACGAATTACCGCAAAGTGAGCCACCAATCCACCAAGGGATGTGGAACAGCACTGGGCAAGCAGCCAAGACGCAATGCGCTCAGTCAGTTTATATAGTTATGACCTAATCCAGCAATTTTCGCGGATCACTGGACAACGGCCACTCAACCACATTAGGCAGTCTCCGCCGAAAATGCCTGTTCCGGTGGGTGCATGAAAATTGGGGTCAATGCCGTGGGGCGGATCGATAACCAACATCGGCCAACAAAACAAAATCCGGAACTCTACGGCCTAGAAGCCCTCAAGTGGCCACAGCATTACTGAATTGTGGATCATACGTTTGCCTCAAAGGCTACAATCAGAGTTCCGGGGAAGAAACACCGTCGGTACGGGCCATAGCGAACTATTCCACGCTCAAAAGTCTCAGGCACCCATTTAGAGAACCCTCTTCATCTGTCTGTTTTCTTCTTCACCTCCTAAAACACACCAGCTATCTCCCGTTGCTGACCTTCAGAGCATATCAGTCAGAGTTTGACCAGTTAATAAAGCGTATTAGATGACAACAGATTCATCTAACCAAGGTGCTCCATTTGACTAGCCACATTCAAAGTTTACATACTCTACCAGACCCGCCAACAAGCTATCTTAGCTAGAACTCGTAAAAGCTTCAAACGTATACTGTGCCTCCGAAACAGAAGACTCTAAGCCCATCATGACTAAGTTCCTCAGATCCTATCTCATCTTCACGTCTCAATCCCTTTATATCAAGTAATTTCATATGTAGTATTCGCGGTGCTGCCGGTGTGAGGATCGCAGTAAACGTCAGGAGCAACGGATGTTGCTTGAACGGGTCCGAGTAAGTAGAAAACTATGCGCTGTATGCCTTGATGGCTCAGTGCTATTTCAGTCATAGTAACGACCTATAATTATCATCGTCCTCCCAGGAGCATCTTGAAATGCACATAAATGATCTGACTACACAGCGTGTGACGTAAAAGCATTACGCATAAGCTTCTAGTTACCTAGGGTGTTTTCACTGAAATGAAAAGCGGAACAACACTTGAATCTTCTGGCTAGCACATAAAGATCATAGGACCTCGTACGCAAGGGGCAGAAAATATACGTGACTAAACTCACAAATGGTAGAACCACTGTTGATGAACTTAGATATACCAGTGTAAAAATGGGAAATAATTGAATAACTTATCAATTGATGGAATCATTTGATAAGCGTCAAACAAAAATACAAAATGAACATCAGTATTGCAATGAACCCTAGAATGTTGCTTTTTTAAATTTGATTCACTTTAGAGAGAGTTTCTAAGACTTACCATACGCTTAATTCGACAATCATGCACCAACTGGTACGCCGACCGCATCAGTTCCCGAATGGAAAGCAATTTCTCCACAATCTGGATTGCTTCCGTCTCCTCCGCGTAGTCCCATGCTCTGGCCGGTTGCAGCAAACGACCGGCAAATGGAAGCTTATTGCCCGAATCCGTTTCGACTGGCGACACTTGCTCCGAACCAGATAGAACGGACGATGAGGCACAGCGATTCGGGTCTGTGGAACCCACATTATCCTGATCATCGAGGGTCGGTGCAACCGCGGCGGCGGCTAACAGGGTACCCAACTGATCTACAACTGTATCCAGCTCATCCGGAACGACAACAAAACGGCGCAGAATCCAAAAAACGAACGTGCGTCGGTCGACCAACAAACGTCGAGCGGCCTCTGTACGCTGATACGCAAGGACTACGTTCATTGCGGCTTGTCTGTTACATAAAGAAAAGAAAGAATTATATGAAACATTGACTTGAAAGATTAAGAACATAACAGATTATTAAGCTTCAAAAACAGGAATTCACTGAGCAGTAGTAACGGGGGATAAGGAACACGGTAAACGGCCATCAAAACTATAAGCACTGTTGGTCAAAAAGGCAAAACACGCACCGCTCAGACCGGTGTGGTCGATCTGGGTTCGGCGCTGATTCGAAGAGGTTGGACGCCAAGTGGCGCACTAGCGACTGCATTGAGAACCATGTCACACCGGGTAAATGGAGCCAGACAAGGGAAAATGGCCATCCATATTCGAAGGGGTGGGTGGGGACACATTCAACTTGTAACAGCTTAATCACAAATATACGTGGTGTTTTGTGCGGAGAACCGTTGACAAAAGTTAAACCCAACACATTCCTGAGCACTGCGACTGATCGCCCGCGACCCAAAGAGAAACAAAAGAAAAGAGTGATAGCAAAAACAATACCTAGGGTGTGGGCACGACGAGCATCATAATCGGGGACATAAGCTGAGGAAGAAGAATCATTTGGCTAAAACTGTTAATGATTTTGCTGCGCGTCCTCAACGTGCCGTTTCATTTGAACGGGTGAGTCATGCAACGCTGTGCACGTTAACATCGACAACGATTGCGAGCTGAAAGCTAAGGTTAACCTCCATTAAGAGCTAAATGCCTGTTGACATATGACAGAACACATAGGGGTCAGCCTAATCAGGAGGATGACAAATTAAAGTGTTCGTTCTTGGGAGGAAAAAGAGTTGTAACTACAGCAGTCAAAAGTCTCTGTATCAAAAATCAAGACGAGAATTGGTAGATAAATGGTAGGTAGTGGAGATTGATACAGGTTTTGCACTAGAAATAGATATGTAAAAAGTAGTTTTATAGCAAGCAAACTATGATACGGTTGAGAAACTGGAATAGGGAGGTATTAAAGTGTACAGCGTACAGTTCAAAACATGAATGTTAGTGAGCAGGATGCCAAAATAAACTTGATCAGCCGATCGATCGTGAGTTATTATTATTGGTGGTTCTAGTTTCTACTTTGCCTTTGTCAGAAAAAACAGAGACCTATCCAAGTGTGGTGACACTCCGTTGGGCAAATATAGAGCTGTGCACCATCCATCGGAATGAACGGTTTTGCCGGCACCAAAACCCACCGATTTAGAATCACCATCCAAGCTTCCATTTTACATTGTTGTCGATGTGCGTATCAACAAATGTTATGCATCCTTCTTCGACATGATCCGTGTTGAGCTCCAGACAGTCGATGGTTTTATGGATAATTGTGTGTGCGGCATCGTTGTTCGGACACGAGATTGGCTCTACCATTCCATATTTGACAAGACTAGGACTTTATACATATAATTATATTGCTGCCCTATCCCGTAACACGAATTGTACGTTTAACCAAAGTGTAAGTAAACATTAACAGGGAGATTGTGGCCATCAAGAGTGGTAGTAAATCATGAAGCTACAGATCCGAACGAGTTCTTTGGTAAACTTTTAATGCAATAACAGTAGGTAGATAAAAGAGGAAAATCACTTCCGCTCTCAGAATTTGTCATTAATATCATACCTTATATAACTAATTCATGAAAAAGCAGGCTAAACACTAGTTCATATGTTCCATGGAATGGGCACTGATGAACGAGAGTGATTTAGCCATATGTGCAATGACAGAGGCATTCTGAGGGATTATTCTTTAAACGAAAACTAAAGCTCCTATCCGTAAGTGTCCACTGACTGGTAAGAATGGATAGAGGGACGTAATAAATGTGTTGTGGATATGGGTAAACAAAAGAAGAAACCCACTTCATCGCAGCTTCGTGCGATTCCGCCTCATCCAGTTCAACATTCAGTCCTACGTCATGAGTAAGCTGTGTACGATCCGCTGGACGATCTGCAGTCAACAAGTCGTCCCGATCCTTGTTCGAAGTGGAAGACGCGAATGAGACCTCACTGGACACAGTGCTCCATTCGCTGTCTGACTCGGTGCTCAGATCGTCCGACTCGAACTCGTCTGAGTCATCATCAGACCAATCATCATCATCCATGAGCTACGGGAATATGGAAAGAGCGCAGATCAACCAGCAATCAAGCGAATTCAGTCAAATCAAAGGCTTTATTCAATCGCTTCCCTATCTGTGATAAACTTTACACTAATCAAGATATTTCTAAATGAACAGGAAAATTGCATACAAATGTATTCCTGTTTGCATACCATTGTGACTGCCAATTGCGTTGTGATGGCCTGTTCACAACTGATTTCAGTTTCAAGATAGTAATTTACGAATTAAACTTCTTAAACGGTTTAGACAGGCGCAGTCATCATCGGCTGAGCGAAAACACAGATAACGCGAGGAGAATCCGGGCACTCGCTGGCAAAGGTACAATGCGGAAGGACAGGGAACAATAACTAAAATTCAATGAAGTCGTGATTTCAACCAGAACACCTTCGGTTGACACAGAGCTCGCCAAAAACAAGATGATTAAATCAATGTAAAACGACTTACAGCATCCAATGGGAACAGACATTCGGATCGTGTAACTTCGGTAGTCAGCCCATCAATCCACCGGATCACGAGTTTGCACGTTTCAGGAATGATATCTTCCAGATAGCCGGCTGGTAAATCAGCATGTAACGGATCATTTGGGGTGTGCATCAGCAGGACGTCCCCGTATCCTAATTGGCGATCGACCAGAGCAACCAATTCGTACACACCGGCTTCCTCTGGAGGACCCATTGGGATCAATCGTCTGAAAAATCACGGATAAGCAAGGGACGGGACAGTTTTCATTGCACACTACTGTAATGAACGGTAGGGGTGAACCACGAAAGCCACCAAAATGGTCGTTTATTAACGAGTACCTCCAACCAAGACTCTGATGCTTTGAGCCGGATGATAGCGTACCTTGGAAATAGCATACTTGAGTGGCAGTGATAGGATTCAAACTTCGCAGTTTAGAGCCTCGAGCATTTCAGTGGCTTAAACCATTTAACCACTACTGCTCATAGAGGTTGACAAATCTGTATGCTTGTCCGCAACCTGGATATACATATATACTGAAATTTTACGATTACTGTAACTATACCCCAAAGAAAACTGTGACAACTCATTGTGCTTTAATCAATCTAAAACAGATTTCCGGATAGAAAGAATTAGTATGCGTCGGGATATCAAGAAGGTTCGTGAAAACAAAGCTATCGGATGATTCCATTCAGCTAGGTTGCAAGGCTTAATGAGATGAAGAGTGTAAAGTTTAAACTCATGCACGTGCAAAACTACTTTTGTTATGGAAACAGGCTATCCAAACCTTGGGATCTATAGTTTAGAGCCACTTAAGTTCTTTTGAAGAATATGGATTTGTCTGGGGAATTTACTGCTGGCAAACAAATTTCAGTGAGCAAATACATGAGGCGTTTTATAGAAACAGTTCGCAGTACAGAAACTCTGCGATGATAATATTAATTGTCTTCTGCCCCGAATGTACATGTGCCACTGATTCTAGTTTTATTCAGTCAAATCAAACAATGATCATAATAATCAGACCCAGTAACGGTGTTACCAAGAAGGTAACAAGAAACAAAAATTATCGAGAAGAATCAAATTCGAAAAGTGAAACGGCATTTATTCACACTTGACATCATCTTCTCTGTACTTTAAATATCTAAATTCCAGATCAACGTGAAGAATGACTAATCACATTACTAAAATGCGGTAAAACAGTGTGTTATAATTACCAAACTCTTTTGAGATGTCTTTTTAAGTTAATGACGATACCCGATTACTTTACAATGATCGAACAACTAAAGAGGTGTTTACCATCTATGACAACGGGATTTTATTGATTCGGTTCTAGAAACCGAAATCTAGAAACATCCAATTATACTACCGCACTGCGATCCGCGTGATCTGACCTGTCGGTGACTCAAATTCTGGGCCAGTGCCAGTATCCCTAAATGACATGAGTGGTAACATAATGCCCGTTTCATTTGCACCCATTAGCTTTTTTAGCCTCTAATTCAATCATCTTGTGAACATGCATCTTCCGATTGGGTGCGATGAAAATGATCGACCAAAAGAAAGAATAAAACTACATTGTTGACCAGGAACGAGAATCGCATGCCACCAAAACAAATCATCGAGTCCGTTCAAACTGTGAACAAGATTCAGCGTTTCGCGAAACAGCACAACTCAGCTGACTCTCAGTGCCATTCGTGAATTGTGCATGTCAGTTGACCACCATCCGGTATCCGCATCATTGCGGCTCAGAGCAGGTGCTAGAGATTAGCGGGCTACTGTTACGGAAAAGGACGAGAACCGCGTCATTCGGGTATTGAAGGAACTGAACAGCATAAAATCTACGCTCTCCGATTGAATAAAACGATACAAAGAAACCGACATATCTCGCCCGTTTCTTTATTACTGGTTAGATTTCCGCGAAAAACGAAATGGAGCAGCGGAAAATAGTCCATTGTCTACGGAGAAATCGACATTTTAAAGCGTCAACCTT